AATTATCGACAAACTTCATTTTTTACTTACTTCTGTGAAAATGTGAATTTTGAGCTATGTTCATTTATCGACCAATTGTCATGAAATTTTGTCTAGATCATTTTTTTGGCAGAAAATTGAGTTTCCCAAAGTTTCACGACGATCGGATCAAAGATAAAAAATTTCAATATGACAAATTATCGACAAATGTCATTTTTTACTTACTTCTGTGAAAATGTGAAATTTGAGCTATGTTCATTTATCGACCAATTGTCATGAAATTTTGTCTAGATCATTTTTTTGGCAGAAAATAAGTTTCCCAAAGTTTCCCAAAGTTTCACGACGATCGGATCAAAGATAAAAAATTTCAATATCGACAAACTTCATTTTTTACTTTTTTCTGTGAAAATGTTTTTCTGTGATCCCCACGGATCCGATCCGATTCCAAACGGAAAATATTATATCATTATATTCAGAGCATGAAAATATTGTTTTTTGCTTCTTTATTATGCTATGTTAGTGCAAAGAACGATTATGGATGGACGGGTTTCAATTTTATTGCATATAAGGGTATTTACATTAAAAGTTATAATATGTTTATTGTATTGCAACTAGTTTTGTAAATCGATTTAGGTCTTAATGCGGCGGTTTTTATTCAGACCAAACGAGCACCACCGCAATTCTCGTTTCCAATGGAGCTGATATTAATATTAAAACTACTGGTGGAAACACTGCAAGAGACTTGATTAGGGACAAAGGTAACTTGGTATAAATAATTTCTAGCCTTTTTATATTAAATTTTGCATATGCAAAAACATTTAGTGTTTTTTACAAAAGTTCGTCTAAAAAGATTAAATATATTGGTAGTGCAACTTAAAAATGTCGTATTTGTGTCAACTTCTTATGTATCATACGCGCCATTTTTTTTGACAGTGACAACAAGTGTATCTTAAGGAGCATCAAAAAAACTATTAAATTCCATCTGTCAAAGTGAATACAAGTTTATACACACAAATTTTTTATTGCGTTCAAAATGTCGAATTTCGTTCCAACAAAACATCATTTGCGGGAAGTTTTAATTTGCTTCTTCCATTTAAAGAAAAATGCAACTGAAGCACATCGTTTACTCACTGAAGCCTATCCTGACTATGCTGTAGACGTTAGAATGTGTCAGTGTTGGTTTGCGCGCTTCAAAAGTGGTGATTTCGACTTAGAAGCAGGGACTACCGCGACATATTTATAGTAAGATATTTATTTATAATACTTAGAAATAAGTCTTATTTCGTTGCGTGCACGCTACAACGCAAACGCACGACTCTGCTGTACATACACAGAGACGAAGAGCGCAAAGGCTACTCTGTGTTCTTATGTGAGCCTACTTATAGGCTTGAAATATGTAAGAAAAGTTGTATGTTTTATAAACATTTTGTTCCTATTACGTTCAAAGATTTACAGCTGTTGGAAGCAACCGAAAAAGGTATTTTTCTTTTCAAATGAGTTGTGAAAATATAGAAAAATTATTTAAATACATTTTACTATTAATTAAGTGAAATAATTAAAGTTAATAAACTCATTGGCGAAGGTGCTGATGTTAATATATGCAATGCCAACAAAAAAAACGCCCATTTATCAAGCGATCGTAAATGGTAATTTCAAAAGTGATGAAAAAAATGGCAGTTTTTTTAAACATTAATTTCTTTGATTTGGTAAAGGTAACGAGGAAATTGCAATGACTATCCTAAATAAAACCGTTGACATTACTTTGAAGGTCATTGAAGGAAAATCACTTCTACAATTGGCTGTAGGATATTTTCGAAGTTTACAAAATGAAAAATATGAATGAAAATTGTTTTATTTTCACACAGGCATGAATAAATTAGTTAAAAAACCAAATGTGAAGGAACAAGATAATCGGGCTTATACTTCATTATGCTTATGAACATGGTACTACTTTCAAACTTCAAAATGTTAATTAATTTCTCTTAGGTCGAACGGACATCGTTGATATGCTTATTTCTAATGGAGCTGACATTAAGGCAAAAAATAAATGCGGAAAGGTTCCACGCGATCTGATAAAAACTGGCATATGTAAAAAGCTTAATATTAAATGCGAAATATTGTATTAAAGTACATTTTCAACTAATTCTCTCTCAAAATAATAGACATTTGAGAACGTGCGGTTACTAATGATTTTTCTTCTTCAGAAAATCTTACACTTTCTTCCTATCCAACGAACAAAATTGCCGGTATGGTGGGTTTTGCACAAACGGATGACGTTACCGGAGGATCAAGAGGCAGCGTGGTGCTTGATTACAGTACAAGATAGATCACTGCTCTTTCGTTGGTCATACGTATTCCGACAAGGATCATTGCCTGGATAAACTTCTTTATATTGGCCAAAAAGCGAACTACGCCACTATAAGAAATTGCTATTTTGGCAACCTTCATTATGTTATTGTTGTTATTACTGAAAATGGGCACCCTGAAGATGATAATGATCCAGCGTATAACGGTTTTCCACACCTGACCATCAGTAATAGTCATTTTGAAAATGTACAGAGCAGAGCGCCTGGCCTGATGCGTTACGGTTTCTACCACGTCTATAGTAACTACGTTAATAATTTCAAAATGGGATTCACGTTGGCAACGAATGCCAAGATCGTTTCGGAGCATAAGCATAATTTTTTTGAGAACGGTGGAAACGTATTGGCTGATGAAGGTAAAGGTATGTTTACTGATTTTCACAACATACCAAAAATTACGAATCAAAAATCGCCACCGAGCAAGTGGTCACCCGCGTCCAACTATAAATACAAGTCGATAATTGCGAGTGAGGCGAAAGTATTTACGAAAGCACACGCAGGAGCTCAATCTTCGACACTTCACTTCGGCAGTTAGATTATGTCTCACCAGCTATTAATGCTATTACCATCATTTCTACCGACATTTATAGCGGGTCTAAAATTTCAAATAACAATGCAATTTGGTGAAAGGTTTAGCCTAGGGCTCGGAAGTATTTTTTATTCGTGAAAAACCATGCATATTTATGAATATTGGTCCATTTTGAGTAGTGAACAATAACTTCACTTTCTGAGAATATTCGTGAATAAAATCATTATTCCTGATTATCGTAAATACCCAAAATGGCGGCAAACGGTGCATGTCATTTAGTGGAACGTCATTTATAAAATCAGTGATTCACAAAGGCTTACTATAAGAATATTTATTACACACTTTTGAAGTTCTTCATCCAAATTATTTTTTTTTTGTTGAAGAAATATAAATTTTTAGCCTGAAAATTGTTTTTATGCAATAATAACATGATTATTAATTTTATTTTGTGTTGTGTGTGTGTTTCAAATCGCTGCTGTATACGGGCTGTATAATTACAAAAAACTACGATAATCACGAATATTTGTAATATTTGTCGCTATATACCAAATTCATACAAAACTGTATTTATTTGATGTTTTTTTTTTTCAAGTTCCGAGCCCCTAGGGTTTAGCATAAGAATTATTATTGCTACACAAATATGATATTACAAATAATAAGACAAATAAACTTTAACTACTCGCCCACAAAAATATATTTAATTTTAATTTATATATTGATCAGTTGAGTTAAGTGAACAGTTTGATTAAATGAAAGATCCATTTATTGGACCAAATTTAAACGTGAACGGAATGTGAACCGATTCAAACAAATTAACGAACACGATTAGGTTTCAATTTTGTTCATGAGCAGCCCCACTATAGTATACTTACACATTTGTATTATTTGTCGCAGAATTTATTGTTCGGAAAATAACGATGGTAAATGTCAATTTCCCATTTTTATATTAGTGTCATCGAACGGCGGCCCTTAACTTGGCGTCTTCACTTGGCTCAGGGTAAAGCAGTTTTTATCAAAACTCCAGTCCTTGACTCGAAACCAAACTGAACAATCTTTTATTTCAATGATCTGCAATAAAAACAAATAAACAAAATAAAAAAAAATCGTTACAATACGACCCGTTTCCATTTATTCACTTACCTTTAAAGCGGAACATTGTCTTAATTTTGGATATCTTATCAAAGCGTCTTTAAGATCATTTTCACTCCATCCCAACTGGTTTGAAAGATAGTCTATTTTCTTCAAGATATCGTTCTACTTGACTGTAAATGGATATTTCGAATTTGATTTTTAAAAAATATCTTTTTCTTTCATTTTAGATGAATTTAAGTGGTGAATCATTGACGCCGAAATTTTATCATGGCCGGTTTTTTTAAGACTTTTGATATTGTGGTCAATTTGTGCCACGCTATAGTGTTTGAAGACCTTTGAATTTGACAAAATAGTTTAACGATCTACGCCATGTTTCAGAAGAACATCTAACGTTGTTTTGAGGGCATTTGGCATGGTTTTAATCGGATGATCATTTCTAATGGCTTTTAATTCGACGAGATCACGCTTATTATTTTTCCAATACAATCGCGTCGGCAATTAGCAAAGGAATGAAGTCTGCAATTCGGTTTCATTTGTTGCACGATATTTATTTTCTCCTTAATTTCATCTAAAAAACATTTGGAATTTAAATAGCACCAAAATTCCATATCACAAAATAAAATTCATTCCATACCAATGGGCATAATGAGCAAAAATCCATTTTTCCCAATTGTCACTTGGTCGATTTTCAATAAATGGTTGACATTCTTTTCTGCCACATCTAGTTCGTTTGGCGTTTTTCTATTCGTCTCAGCTATATTATAGTCATGTAAATGACTTAACTTAATTTACATGACTATAATACAGCTGAGTCGCTTCAAAATTGTCACCACCTAATAACGACATCAACAATTGCTTTTTCGTCTGTGTTACGTTTCTTTATTTGTATCATCATTTCGGCGGATAAGGCAATCCCTTTTTTGGCTCTTTCCAATTTGTATTTTTCGATAAACCTGTATGTAAAAAGACCAAAGCATTGAATTTCCATTTTAGTTTTCGACACAGATTTTCTCACGCTTTTCTGAAGCACAGTGCATCATTTATGTTCGTTTCATAAAAGATAGTTAGCAATAAGCCTATATTGATACAACACTGTCCGAGAATGAATGTGAGATTTCTCCCGAGATTTGAATGAAGTGCAACAACTTTTTCTTAGGGCAGTAAATCAGAGACTGTTTCTCCTTCAGTTCCTCATAGCGCTCCTCCTGATATATATTACTATGAGAAACAGTCTCTGAAAAAAAATCTCAATTCATTTAATAAAATCTCAGAAGAAGACTAACGTTCATTTTCGAGCATATATTTATAAAATTCCACATTTTCACCAGCATTCCAGTAGATACTTCACATGCGGTCAAAACGACGCAGTAACACACAAATAATAAAATTTAAAAATTCTTCATAGAATATGGTACGCACATGGTTTACCACACAATAAGTGGAATCTACCACAAGGTATCACATGTAAAAAGTGTCAAATAACATTAGACAGCGTGTCTATCTCGGGTGTCTAAATTAGACACCGGAGATAGTAAGCGTGTTCAAACCATGTGCGTACCACATTCTATGAAGAATTTACAAATTTTATTTTTTGTGTGAATATTTCAGCATGATTAAGAGCATACACACATTGCTTGCCATTGGGTTGGCGCCATCAATATTCTTACTTTTTTGTCAAAATTTCGAAATGTTATAGATGATATTGGCAATCAATTGTGGTTCAACCTGAAATTATTGATTAAAGATTTGTTGTTAAATATCGAATTTGGCTTATATTGGGGGAATAATTAACCTGGAGACGTTCGCTTACATAATAACTACAATTTGTGTGTCCATGAATTGCAGGCTCATATTTATCCTTTAATAATCCGCCAACAAGTTCCTTAAGTTCAATTTCATTGAGTGTTAATAACGGTGCAAAATCACCAAGACTCTTCGGCTGCATTAATTTTAGAAACACTGGACAAGGAGATAGATATAGATAATTATGTTAAAATCAATATTTATCTTCTTTTCCAGCGATTCCAAAATCAATCAATCACAATAATTTTCAGAGATATTGTTCAATACAAACACAAAAATAATCAAAATATCACAATTGTCAAAGTTATTGATTCAGCTGTCAAACTGTACAAATGTCAAAGTCTCACATTGCTTATGGCAGCACCGTTCAAATAAACCAACCGTTTCATCAATTATATCAAATTCTTATTTATTTATTTTTAAACGTCAATAAAATCCAATGTTTTTTATGTTGCAAGCAATGGATGACTTTTATTCTAAGGAATTAAAATACATGAAAAAGAGAAGAGATGAATGAAAATTTATACTATATCTAGCAAAATTTGATGCAGTCTCTCACATTTTTCAATGTCAATTCATTCCATTACAATTATATTTTTTCAATTCATTAAATTGTAGTTTTCAATTACCATTTACATTCAAATTGAGAATGAATTGAAATTTATTTTTTATTATTTATTTCAACTTTAAATTTTTTAATTTCAGTGTCAATATTAAATTTTAAATATGCATGTCATTATTGAAAAAATCATAAACAATTTATTTTACATTAAAATTTTTGTTATGAATGAATTGGCGTTAAATAAAATTCAAAACACACGAGATGATAGCCATCTAAATTTCAATTTGAATGTAAATGGTAATTGAAAAATACTATTTAATGAATTGAAAAAAGTAATTATTATTTCAAACACTGATCGATATTATCCATTTTGTACGAAAAAAAAACGAATCAATTTTATTCAAAAAAAAAAAATCGGTCTTATTATTATTTAAAAGTAGTCTATAATGAGAAATATCACCATTTTCTTTTTATAATCTGGACTGAATCTGTGATAGATTTGTTCAGAGAAAAATTAAACAAAAACGAATATAAAAATATTTGTTTAAAAAAAAATATATCTTGGGAACACCTGTGAAAAGTTATGAAAAAACTGACTTCTTTATTCATTCGTTAGAATGAAGAGTTGTAGTTGATGCCCAGACTAATTAATTAAATGCAACATTTTTTTTCGTATTTTCTAGTGACGCATTTGTTTTTTTGTCAATAACAAATTGTCATAAGAATCATATAATTCATAATGAAATATTTATTCATTTTTTTAACCCGGTAGTCTCAAACTTACGCTCATCAGTGTTTTGCAATAGACCTGATGTGTACTGTGATTTAACTTGTCCAGTACTTTAGTTTTAAAAAATGATTAATTTACATATTCCACAAAAACAGCATTGAATATAGCACCAGATTCGAATTTCATATAAAAAAGTAAACAATTTTGAATATTAACAACACTGCAGTAAAACTATAATTTGAAGAAAGTGTGTGTTGTTTGCATCCATAAATTGTATCTTTGAGTGAAAATCCACAAAAATTTCAAAATTATGGCATTTTTCCAAAATTTGATAAAAAATACCCATAGATGATGACATAAAAAAATTTAAAACGGGGGGGGGGGGGGGTTGATGGCAAAATTTCGTAGGGGGTCCCTGGAAAAATCCATGGGGGTCTCTGACGATGTCAACAATTTGTACTAAGGGGCTTAATTCAAAATTTTCAACGACTGAATTCTATAATAATATCTAAATTAACTGAATTTTTCAGCAAACGAATGAATTCCAGTGAATTCTACGGCGATTTCATTCAAATATGTGAGATAGTGGTGAATAGTTTCTGCAGGCAATTACTGCAATATTTATATTTTGTTTAACAAAATTGTAAATGTTTTTTATATTTTTTCAATAAAAATTAATTTTATTTTCAATTTTGAGCGATTTTCTATCGAAAACAATCGGAAATATTGAAAAAATAATAAATTAAAAAATATTGCGGTTATCATAACCTCACTTTATTACTTTGACACATTTCATTCTATTCACACGAATTCACCGAACTCATCAATAACCACTCGATTCAAAAGTGTGGATTTACGTGAATTCCTGTGAATTTTTTTGCCGTATTAAGCCCCTAGATTTGTACGAAATGCGGATAAAATCGTTTTTTTTTTTTGCTCTTCACTTTTTTGGCGAAAATCTCTAGCAAATCGGAAGAATTTTCTCGGCCAAAAAAAGTGAAGTGCAAAAAAAAGGTTCTCATTTCCAAAATTGTTGAGGGTTCCTAAAAATATTATGGGGGGGTCATCCGACCCCTAGGAACCCTCTTCATCAACTGAAAAATACCAGAAAAGACTAAAATCCGACAATCCTAATTCATTCCAAACTCAATAAACACATAATTGATACATTATGAATGAAGAAAACTCAGTGATGAAAAAACCTAGATTCTCTGATAAATCTAAATATTTCCATTTTGTGTTATTCACTAAAAACGTTTTAGTCCATTGGAACTTCGAGATTTTATTCGAAAAACCACTAAAATGGTATTTTAATAGGGTTGGCTACATCAATTTGCCTTGACCTTCGAAGGACATAATTTATATATAAATAATTGATTTTTGTTACTTATTTCATTTTATTTCTTTTCTCACATACGAACACCGGCAAAAGAGAAAAAGAAACTATTTTAAAGTACAATTTTTTAATGACAACTATCTAATTAAATTTAATTTCTTACATTCAGAACGTTCTCAGTTAAATTATTGCTTCAAAAAAAAAAAACTGACATCAAATCAACAACACTTTTGTAAATTTTCAAATTGAAATAGTTTCGTATGGGCTTGTCGGTTTTCGTTCTTTTCTGGGACTTCCACTTCAAAAGTTCAAAATAATATGCTTCTCTCCAATGCATCCATAATTTGAGTCTTTGCAAATTATGGCATTGAACGAAAAAAATTTAGAATAACATTTTCTGAATGAGCCAGTGAGAAACATTTAAATTGCGTTTGCGTGTTTGACCATTCAGTTGATGCATATAACAAATTAGAGCCATTCATTAAGCATCCAGTTCGAATTCAAGTTTAAAGTCAAATGATACCCAATTACGAACTCTTTCTACAATGTACATTGGAATAAATTGCGATGAATTATTAACGAACCTTTTTGCTGCCGTTTTGTCTATCTCTTTTTTTTCTCTCTATTTAAATGCTCTACCATTTGTTTCACGATGGTTTTCGTGCTGAAAATTTCGATAAGCTCACTGAACACAAGACATTCGGTTTTTATTGTTTTCCATTCGTCTCGTTTTGTCGTGTGTACGATACATGTATTTAAATTGTTTCGCATACACGATACATTTTAAGAATATGCAGGATCAACAATCAAAATCCTAGATAAACGCGATACAATGTGCAGATTCAACGACACCTGATTGTTATTTTTACATTTAGTTTTTATCGGCTCGCCAAACAGTAAACAACAAACATCGAATGCGGAAAATTCAAATCGAAACATTTCATTCTAGATATCAATTTATGGTTTCATTTTTTAACATGGATCAACACAAATGAAAATGTTTCGAATTTATTTCTCTTCAAATGTTGTTGTTGTTCAGATTTTACTAAATCAAGTGTATTCTAACTAAAGTTCGGGATTTATGTGGACATTTTTACGTTTGTTTTAAGAAAAAAGAAATTGGTACTTAGATATTTTGCGTGTGTGTGTGACGGCTTCAAAATGGGCACCGTACCCAATACTACAATACCTCAGAGCTCAACGTATTATGCCGGATCAAGAAATAGCAGCTATATCATTCCAGGCGTTTATGATCTCAGTGTTGAGGACACCAATTGGGTTCTAACATCTTCTTTCATCATTTTCACTATGGTATTTCATTAATGGGCATAGTACCAACCGAATTTGAGATGTCAACAGTTTTAATTATATCAAGTATGTTGAGAGTTAACCCGTTTTTACTTTTGTATTAAGCAAACAGGATTTGGGATGCTTGAAAGTGGATGTGTATCGGTTAAAAATGAAGTAAACATTATGATGAAAAATATTGTGGATATTGTACTCGGCGGATGTAAGTTTCATTCGTTTATTTGAATCCAATACATTTTGAATCGCTTGTGACCCAAAATCAGTTGTGACCCAATAAATTGTGATTTTTAGTTTTATGTCGCTGGTCTGGTACCGTTTTATTTGGATTTTTCTTTATTTTAAAGCGAGGTTAAAGCTCGAAGAGCATCAAATCCACAAGAAATGCATTAAGTTGCTTGGTAGGTGATAAGATGTATTTTAATAAGCGCTTTATTTTCCAAACTAGTCACATACTGGCTCTTCGGCTATGGCATGTCATTCGGACGAGGACCTTTAACAAATCCATTCATTGCAATTGGAGATTTTCTATTAGGTTTGTGACATCATTTTTTTAAACAAAACACATTGTTTGGCGTTCATCTTCAAAAAAATACAGTTTCACACAAAAATTCTTCTATCACTCGAATCATTGTTTACGTTCGTAGATCCTGGAGTTGGCGATGCACTAATGGGGCCGATTTTCGGTATGACATTCAATTATAAATTTTATTTAAATTATGACCATTTTCATTTTGCAGCTGCATTTCTATTTCAATTATCGTTTGCAACAACTGCCACAACTATTGTTTCTGGTGCAATGGCTGAGAGGTACACAATTCGTTCATTAGTCAAATCAGAAATGATTTTTATAAAATAATTTGGATTATCTCTATTGAAAATATCGAGAGGAGAGTATGTTTTTATTCAGACATTACTCAGCCATAAGCGCTGACTAACATACTCTCGCTCGATATATTCAATAGATCTGTACAAACACAATTAAGTTTACGGATTAACTCTTTAATATCAAGTACTCAAAAACGGGTAAACATTTGAACTCTCGAATTGTCGATTACGTTTCTTCTTTTCTTTTCATTTCTTTTCTTGATTCAAACAAATGTGACTATTTTTAAATTATTACATAAATTAAATCGGATAAATGAAATTGAAGTAATTACACTGTGATATGAATTTGTATTTTATGACAATTTCATTCAAAATGATCGTTTTGATCTTGGAATCAATATTTTCATTATTGCGTACGCCAATTCAGCATTTCGCTTATTCAGTTTTCAAAACTCACCAAATTACCGAGCATAGAACAATTGTCCACATTGTATTTACATTTGATAAAATTAAAATGGCAGCACGGAACCGTCAATGTAAATATATAGAGAGAAAAAAAACATAAATTAGTTTTAAACGTCGATGTAATTTGTCTGCGCTTGAACAATGTCAATGCAGTAAGCCTTTTTGAATATATATAGGAATTTTAGTTGAAATATATGGCGGACAATACACAATTTAATTGTAATTGACGTACATTTGATGTAATTGTCGCACTTTGGATTTAATCCGGTCAGTAAATAATTTAATTTTCTATAGTCACGCAAATTTAATTTTCCACCAAAATTAATTAAATATTTATGAACGAAAATTCATCAAAACTAAGACATCGACACATATCTGAATGAATAGCAACATGTTCACTGTATTAAAACACATTTATATGTGTTTCGACTGTTCCGAAGCGTAGTTGTCAATTAGTCCGGTTCAGAGCGGTGTATTCCTTTTGAAGTCCTTGAAAAAGGTTGTCTGCGACATACCGATCAAATTAAAATGTTGTCCAATATTCATTTCTTCCGATTAGATGCAACTTCAAGGCTTATTGTTTGTTTTCATTCTTCAATACGGTTGTCTATTGCATACCAGGTAATTTCTTAATTTTTTTTTCTCCTTCGGACTGATCGAGTAATTCAACCGAATTAAAATAAAACGATTTTTAGCCGGATGGGTATGGGGTGAACATGGATTCTTGAACAATTTAGGCGCTGTTGATATTGCCGGCAGTGGGCCAGTAGGTTTTGAGTTCAACATTTATGTCGTGATATGTTTAATTAATTACTAGTCTTTTCTCTTCTTCTTCATTCAAATAAGGTTCATTTAATTGGTGAGTTTTAATGCGTGAGGACATGATAAAATGAAATTGCATACAAATGAACAATGTATTGGAGTAAAAGCATGTTTCTTTTGTTTGGTAGGTGGTTCATCTGCTTTTGCATCTGCAATGATGTTGGGACCACGATTGGGTCGATATGCAGAAGGGATAGATCCATTGCCACTTGGAAATCCAGTCAATGCTTGTATGGGCTTATTTGTTCTGTGGTGGGTCTACAGATTTACCAGCATTGAAATTGTAATATTACTAACAATTACGATAACGTAAATGTCTGTAATAGTTAATAAAATTATAATAGCTATTAATGTAACGCTAAAATCTAACATTACAATTTCAATAGCTAATACCGGCAATGCTTTTTTACAATAACAAGGTGTTACCCGTATTGTTAAAAATCTGACATTAATATTGAGACTTTTCAAGACCAATTCAAGTTGAAAATATATTTACAATAGATGGCGTCTGTGTCTGCTCTAAGCTTTTCATTCAAATTGGTTGATTTGATTTTTTTATTATTTTATGCAAATTTCATTATTTTTGGTTTTTTTTTTGAAAAAATGTTTATACATATCGGAAAAAAAATATTGCTTGAACTATATTGTGCAGGAATTTCCGAAAAATGAACGATGATTGTAGATTTTTTAAATAGAAATGCAAACAGAAATGATGTTTGACTTTTAAATCTGTCATGCTCATACTGCTTGCACAGTGTTGTCCGTGCACGAAATTTCTGTTTATATATGTATAAACATTTTTTCAAAACAAAACCAAAAATGATGAAATTTTAATATAAAATAATAAAAAAATCAAATCAACCAATTTCAATGATAAGCTTAGAGCAGACACAGACGCCATCCATTGTAAATATCTTTTCAACTTAAAGTTGAATTGAAAAGTCTCAATATTAATGTTAGATTTATAACATTACCCGTGGCGTTGAGTAACACATTATTGTTGTAACGAAGCATTGCCAGTAACGTTATAAGAATAGCAACACACGATTGTAATCGTGTACGATTCCAATCGTCCACGATTTTCTTATGATCATCTACGTATATCTGAAAAGCGTTAGATGAAACGTTCCCGATCATCAAAGATCGGTTAGCGATTTGAAAAAATCGTACACGATTACAATCGTGCGCAAATCGTGTCCTAGGAAATAGAGCCTTAACGTTAAAATTGTAATGACATTACTGTAATGCTTCGTTACAATTGTAATGTGTTACTGCAAAATGTAAATCTGTAGGTGGGGCTGGTTGGCTTTTAATTCGGGATCAACATATGGTGTTAGTGGCGCAAAATGGCAATACGCTGCTAGGGCAGCAGTCATGACCATGATGGGATGTGAGTAAAATCATATAAACCTTAACAACACACTAAAACAATCGAAATTTATCAATATGTTTGAATTACAGCTTTTGGCGGTGGCTGCTTTTGTTTAATGCAAGTCCAATCTTTAAAAAAACATTCATAAATTACAAATCAATCCACTATCTATACAGTTTTTTTTTCGTTTTCAATGCAGTTACTCAATGGTTCGAAATGAAGGACGCGTCGATATGATCGATTTAATAAATGGAATTTTGGGTTCTTTGGTTTCAATAACAGCGGGTTGCTTTTTGTATCGTGCTTGGGAAGCAATGTTAATTGGTGCGTCGCTTTAATTTTCAAATGTATATGTTTTTTTTTCTTTCGATTTTCACCCAATGTTCTTTTGTACAAAATAACGATTAGGTGCGATCGGGGCGATTTTGACATGCGTTTCAATGCCAATATTCGATAAATGGTCTGTTGACGATCCGGTTGGTGCAAGTGCCGTGCATGGTGTTTGTGGCATTTGGGGTGAGTAAATATAAATCTTGATTGATGAAAAATGGTTTGTTTTCAACAAAATTTGATTTCCGCGCGGCGGTTCGAACACCACAATTGGTTTGAACAAAAGTTCAACATTCAAAAATTGAATATTTTAAGGTGTTGTTGCTGTCGGTTTGTTTGCTGATAATCCAATTCCATTGGATACGACCAACGGGCGAATGGGTTTTTTCAAAAGCGGTGATTTTTACTTACTCGGCGTTCAAGCATTGTCAGCACTTTGTTTGACGTGTTGGGGAATTTGTTCGACATTCTTTCTGCTGTACATAATCAATATTTTAATACCGATTCGTATGGATCCCAATGAAGGTATACAATGATGAGAAATTAATTGGTGAATATCACAATGCAATTATTTGTTCCACTTTTTCAAGAATTGGTTGGTGCTGATTTGATGGAGCATCGCATAAGGCACTCGAAAATCGGAATATCACGTGCAATTTCAGCGTTATCGCCGTTACGTGTGAATCTGGATGACATTTCAAGTGTACCACCAATTGGAATGAATCCCGGACATGAAGGCATCGTCGATGAATTGCAAGCGGTAATTTTTTAAATAGATTCCTCATCGAAATTTGTGTGTGATAATTTGTATTTTTTCTTAATAGGCGAGTGAAAAGATGAAAAAATGGAATGATTACTATGAAAGTATGGTTCTATTATTTCCATTAGTCATTGAATAATTTTCATAATTTCCATTCTATTCTGTGATTCACCCCTTCCTCCCCACAGGTATGGATCCAAGAAATAGAAAACCGCGCGAAAATAAACCGATTGATGTTACGCGAGCGGCATCGGTGAAATACTTTTCGGTGTATCCGCGAAAAGCGGCTGCCGAGCAACAAGCTGCTTCGGGTCATGTTACTCCCATTGGGCATGTAATGCAAGAGCAAAAATCGAAGGCAAAAAAACCAACGGCTGAAACCAGCTTTCAAGGTGAACGCTACACTAGACGACCAAACGAGTTTGGAGCCGATGCAAATCGTACAGATGGTGGCCACATCAATTTTGCTTGGGTTGATTAGCTTTAATTTGAAGCTTTTCTTTGTTTTCAACATAAATATAGCAACAGTGGCAAACATAGTTGTGTTTTACAATAATAAAATGAAATTCTTTAAATTTTATTAAAAAAAAAAAAATAGATAAATATTGAACAGAATAAATTGAAATTTTAAACTAAAATTATAAACTAAATTTTAAAGAAATGCAATTGTTTTATTGTGATATCAATATATCCATTTATCGTTCCTGTACCTGTGAATTTCTTCGCTTGCAACTCAAATTGGTTCGTTTGGTCATAACAACACATGCGCACAACGTTTCGATGCAACACACAACATAGAGCACTTCACTTGAATGGAGGATAGAATAACAAAATATTCGTGTCATAAATCGATTTAGGAAGGGGAACGAATAAGAGCGCAAGAGAAGAAGAGCAAAAACAAGAGGATTTTTGACAATCGTTCTGTAGATTCAGTGCTTCAGATACATTCGTATAGAACATTTGTATCCATTTCAAAGCAATTGCGTTTTTTTTTTAAATTCTTTTGAGGAGATTTTTGCGTCAGCAGTGAACAATAACTTTAAAATTTTAAATTCACACTTGAGATTCAATTTGTATAGATTAGTTTTTCGTTTGTGGTGAAAACAAACAAAAATAATAAAAACAAAACCCACTCTCCGTGGATGTTATGTGATCAATTTTCGTGCGTAATTTGCAAAAAAAATAGTGACCAATCCAAATATAAAAAGCTCATCCAACACCATTGCAATACAATGCAGTGAAACAGAGAGAAGAAGAAAAATTGCACAAAAAACACAGCGAAGTGAAAAACCCATTTCGATATAAAAAAGCGAAAAAAAAAATTCACCGTAGCACGTAGAATTTTTATTCATGGATAATGCGTGTTCGTTGCACATTAACTTTGTGTTAAGTGGATAGAAATGCGTGCATTCATCTAAGAGAATATGTAAACGAGGGTGATTAATTCTCGCTCGATTCATTTTGATATGTAGGTATTGTTGTTTTGCGCGGATTTTCAATTTTTAAATGGAATCATAACCGGCACAAAAACGATGCGATAGAATATATGGATTTTCCTTCGTAAATAGTATATTGTCGATGTCGCATTACACGTTTACTGACATTCTATAGTTAGTTGTGTGCTGTGCACTGCACATACATACTCACCCATCATTTCTTCATACAGTTGGTCGCAGTTCTACTTTTAGCAACGCAACATTTTGAAACATTGAATACGGGGAAAAATCAATTTTAAAATTGCCCATATTAGACACACATATAACTGCGATAGCGAGCTGTAACAGTAACGGTTGTCAGATTCAAATGACTTTGAAATGAAACTACAGAAATTGTTATAAATCTAATTATTACCGCAGTTCGAAAAGAAGGTAACACAAAAAAAACGAAAAGAATAGACTTATTAAAAGACATAGAATAGAATGGCTGACGAATCGGAAGAGGCATGTTTGGTAAATCCAAAATCTCCATTAAATTGTGGTCAAATGCCATATACCGATGGCATTAATTCGGCATCGACCACATCGAGTGCAGCTGGTTCACATTCGTTTCCACAAGCCCAAGCAACTGCAACGACGACGACCACGACGACAACACATCACACTGGACATAATACAACTATAACCGCCAATTCGTACGACATAAACGACGATATCATTTTGAGTCAATTTCATGCGGATGCTATCAAACAGGCAAGTTGGTTTTTCTCTTACGTAATTCGAATTGAATACGATGAACCAAATCTGACAAAGTAACCGACAACCGATGTCGTGATCAATGAATCCCGTTCGTTTGCTCTTTTTTTTTAATTTTAGGCTGGATGTGGCAAATTTCAATTTATCGCAAGTATCATTGTGGGTTTAGGTTTGGCTGGCCATGTCATTCAAGTTTATTCAATATTCTACATTTTGCCATCGGCCGAAGTTGAATACTGTATATTGGACGATGAAAAAAATTGGGTGAGCAATATTACGTTGCTTGGCATCGGCTGTGGTTCACTGTTCTTCTCTGCATTGGCCAGCAAAAATGGACGAAAACGAACACTTTTAACTTGCCTCGCGATCAGTTCCGTATTTTCAGGTGTGGTCATCAGTTTTTTTATTTTACATAAACGAAAAAACGTTGAAAGAATTATAATTTTTAAATTTGTTTTTGTAGTGATCGCCGCTTTCATGCCGGCTTATGGACCTTTCATGATGGTGAGATTTTGTGCAGCAATTGGAATCGGTGGCGCTATGCCAGCGGCTGCAAGTTATCTATGTGAAATTACACCATTAAGCTCACGTGCACGGTGAGTTGAACTGATTTCATTTTATTATAGTAAAATATCCAAGTCGAATGTGGTCAATAGAATTTTATGTATTTTATAGGGTAATTGCATTCCTATGTACAATAGGCATTTCGGGTGGAATATTTGCGGGTGCCTGTGCAATGGTTCTCATCCCATTGAATGGTCAACAAATAGTCATTGAAAATAAGAAACATTTTAGTGCATGGCATCGATATTTATTGCTCGTTTCAATCATTCCGATCATCAGCACGATTTTATTATTTTGGGTTCCCGAATCACCTAGATATCTACTAGCGAATGGAAATGAAGTAGAAGCTCTTGCAACATATCAGGTATGAAAAGTTTGTTTTCGACACTTTTGATTGACATTTGTTCGGCCGCTCCCTCTATGTATGTCCTCCTCTATGTCGGTTAAAGAAAGTATTCAATAAGAACATTTTTTTTTCATTTCATTTGTAGCAAATTTACAAAACGAATCGCTCACGTGGTGGTTATGCATTGACAGAGCTTGAGTTGCCTGGAGTTCGTGCCCGTCGTGTGAGTACACCGTCAACGGTGCTTGCATCGATGGTGCATAATGTTTATGCATGTTGCAGTACATTTGTCCAATTGTATAATGAAAAATATGGACGAACCACGTATTTATTGATGGCAACATGGTTTGCTTCCGTCTTCGTTTTTCACGGTCTAACAATATACATAAGTGAATATTCGAAAGCATTTGAAGCGAACTTTTATTCACGTTTGACTGTAAGTGTATATCTGCAAACAATTCAATCTTTTTTGTCGATTTATTTTCACATGACACATGTATACAATGCGCATTAATTAATATTCTATAAAAAAACTAATTGGAAAAATTTTCTTTTTCTCTTTCTCTCTCTCTCTCTCTCTCCTTTTGACGTCGATTGAATAGATTACTTATACAAATGTAACCTATAGAGATGAAAATTTTCGTTCATTGGACAACACAATATATGATCAGTGTCGCTTTGAAAATTGTACATTTCGACGAATATTCATCAACCATGTACTTTTCAATAATTCGACATTTAAATATACCGAATTTTCAAACGTTAAAACTTCGCGTACCGAATTTCGAAACTCAACATTAGACGATATCAAGTAAGTGTGTAACCACAAAACACAAAAAAAAACACCTGATAGAAAATCAATTTTGTTCACATTTATTGTGTTTCATTCGAAAGGTTCATCGATACAGATGTCTCAGCGCACAATTTCATCGATTGTAAGATTAATAATACGAAAATCGTTCGATTGAATGGTTCATGTGACATGGATTTTGATTATAATATATTCACATCGTCTGTATGGAAATCAAATCTTGGCGGATTGATACCGTGCATTTTAGCCATATTGTCGGTTGGCGAAGCAATACAGCGGTTGGGACGTGCTCCGGTTGCATCGTGTTGTTTTACAATAGCAATGATTTTGTGCTTCGTTCTGGGTTTCGTTGTTCAAGATGAAATCGTGATTTGGATTGGTGCGTGTCATTTTTTTTACTTTAATCTTATTATTTTCTTATTCTTCGTATCTAATCATATTTTCCGGTTCAATCGACAGGTGGCTGTGCACAGGGATTCGTTTTGGCTGGTCTGACCACACTAACATTATTTGTCGTCGAAACATATACCACAGTGATAAGGTGATTATGCACCCGAATACACAAATATTTCAATTCCTAACTAATTTTTCAAAAAATGTTCACAGATGTACAGCTCTTGGAGTATTCGTTTGCTTTAGTCAAATTGGAGCTTTATTGGGATCAGGACTTTACATACATTTACCGGTTGTATCGACAAAAGTTGCGGCAACTGTATCTACAATATTCATGACGATACCATTCATTTCATCAATGGTACTTAAGGATCCATGTCTTCTTGTTTAAAACTTAAAAAAAATATTGAATATAAACACTATTCAATGTTTAAGAAAAACAGATCAGCGGTTGGTACATTGCCCACTGATTTTATGATACTCATATAAAAAAAACGACAGATACTTCTTCAAAAAGATATCAAAGCACACAATTCAGCTCTTTCATTCACACTGACATTTTTTTTAAAGTCTGCTCAGGAAAGACACATGCTTCAGAACATTAACATTCCATAACAGTTACAATTTTAGATCCGAAATAAAACTATACGTTTTTTTATGTCAATTGATATGGACGTGATGAATCGCTCGATAACAACAAAAACACTAAACCGTAAAAATAACTTGTTGCAAATAATTTCCTTTCCTATAAATAGAATCTATAAAAGCAGCTTTCAACCGATTTAATACATACACACAATAAATAATGAAAATCATGTGTTTTTATCGTCGTATTGAAATTTTACAAAAAAAAAAAACGAAATAAAGATGTTCCGTGCCGATCGCATTTATTTCGAACTTCAAAATCATCGACAAAAATATTGAGCAATATTCATAACAAATCGCAACAATTACATAAATTTGTTTGGTTTTTTCTATCGTTCAAAATGAATATAGTTTTTAAAGATGGAACAGCAGTACACCTTTATTTATACGTTTCCACGTTACGATGGCTTATCGAGTGACTTTGAGGAAAAAAAAAATCGATTTCACAAGCGCATGGCTGTTTTTACATTCGCCTTGAAACAAACAAACAAATCTAATGTTAATTATTCCACAAATTCAATAGAGTGGCTATATATATATATAAATATAAACCAATTGGATCATATGATATTTGTCTACGAAGCAATCAACTCTCAAGTGCTTATGAATGAAAAAGTAATAAAGAAAATTATTGGCAATGTCAATATGTTCATCAAGATGAATATCAACCAAATGTAATTATTGTATGTTTTATGCAAGTATTTAACGTGTTGTGAACCTTAAAACTTAAGAAAATTCTCTATTATGTCTGTTGATATTTAAATTAAGTATATTTCCGCATCGTTTTTTCCAGGGTAAATTTGGTGATGGCAGCCATTCATTTCGAATGAATCTTACAGTAATATATTGAACTATTAAATGGTCAGCTGAGCTAGTTAGTCAGCTAAATGGGCTAAAACAATAGAAGTTATTTTTATAATGATCAATCACTTTTATTGTTTTATCCCATTTAGCTGGCTAACGTACTGTCAGCTCAGCTGACCAGTTAGTTCAATATATTGTCCGGAATGATCTTATTTAGTTCGTTATTTTTCTTCTTTCGTTTATCGATCGCAGCATCGAGTTCAGTTTTGATTCCCTCCATTTTTATCAAAATTTCAAAGTATACTAATATAAATTACCTATCTTTTTTGGCCAAATATCATTTTAATTAATAGGATACATTTTTTAACCTATTTGTGAATTTGAAATCTTTGCTTTTCGGTTTTCATCACAATATATATTGAATTTATTTTGAAACGAAAAGATTCCGAAGAGAAAATAAAAGAACATGAATTTAGTCCAAAAATTATGACATTTAAAAAAATGTAATTCGTACAATTTATTGTATTTAATGCCACAAAAAAAAAAAAAAAAAAAAAAAAAACAATGCATTTTTATTTCATTCAATTTTTTTGTTGTTGCTTGGAAACTAGATAGCTATCTACTTGCTTTGAAGAGGATTTATTTTAAGAAAATATCACTCAAATTTGAAATATCACCCAAAAAAATTATAACTTCTATAGATAACCGGAACAAAAATTCGTTTCACTTCTCCGTGTAAAATAATAAACTAAAAAAAAAACAAATTCCATCTATGTGACTTAAGTTATCTACCCAAAGTACTGGATTGTAATCAATTCCCATTATTCGAATTTAATAATGTAGATTACCAGAAAACTTAATGCCCACAATTTTATGATCGGTCATCAAAGCCAACTTTATGTGGAAATTTAAACACAGTTGTGGGCATGTTGCAGTTCAAATCATAATTAAATTACACTGTCGCTGAAAAAAATTAAAAGGCATCATTTTTTGCTGTATACTTTCTTTATTTGAACTTGCTTGATCAGACATTTGATAATCTATTAGATAAAAATCCATAGCGCCCATAAGTTGCATTTCAATTTTATAATATTCATTAAAAACGACATTGTCGAGTCATTTAAATCTCTTAATTTGGACATCTAAAATACTAAAATAGTCGTCGAAATACAGAGATTCAAGTGACTCAATTGTGTATCTAAAAAAAATGTCCTAAAACCAAAATGTGTCAAATTGACGCTATTTACGAAATTTTTCGTCCAGATATTCACCAATTCAAAGCTGAAAATGAACTAATCAAAACACGGTTTGTATTAGGATGTTGTTTCTTTACTGTTTTTTCTGTCATTTGTTGTTACTTAAAACTGTAGTGAATTTAAGAGTTTCTTTTAAAGTTCTGATTACTGATTTTGATTCTTTTCAAGTGGCTATGCTTGACTTTTGGTTTCGTTTTTTATTTGTTTATTTATTTGTCATCCATCTGATTGGCGCACCCAATATTCAATGAAAATCGATTAATATTTGATTTATACTTGGTTTTACGCGGTGAATTATATAGTGTTATGAATTGTCCTTTTTAGGATTTTTTTTTCAATCACCATTATTACGAATTTGTTGTATTTTTGTTGTTGTTTGTTTGTTAAAATATCACAATTCAGTTAACAATGTAATATTCCATTATTTTCATTTTAATACCTCAAAAATGTGTCTCGTTTATGCATTCAAAATGGGTGTTGATTAATAACTAATAGGAATATATATTAATTAAATATGTGTGTTTTGAATTTAATTTGTTTATTGTATGTATTTTATTGGATTCATTGAATAATTCATATTTAATTTTTAGCAAGAATGTGTGTTGGGTATAAGAGAGAGAGAGATATTGAAGAGAATGAATTATTTTAATAATGTTATGTAGAGGACAGAAATATATGAAGTTTTAGTTGCAAGTTAATCAACAGCAATTATATAAGTGGGAGATTTATTTATTTCCAATACCCTTTAAGCCGTTTTGAATGTTCATTTAAACGGACTGAGTTGGTTTTTGTTTCTCTTCATGACAATATGAAACATTGAAAAACACACACATACGAAATACATTTTATAATTGCCGTATATAGCACAAACGCACACCGTTTATTTTAATTTAATTTTTCTTTTGTTTACACTTGCAAAAGTAAAGAAGAACGCCAAGAACTTTCAAATAAATATGTGTATATTTTATCTCATTTTCTTTCTAAATTTAATAAATTATTAGATTTAGAAATTACAAATGTTCGGTAACATAGAATTTTTTTTTCTTCTTGTATTTTGTTTTTTGTTTATCTAATATTTAATAGCAAGGACAATTATTGTGAATATTGTTAAATTGTATTTTTTTTTCGCCTCTCATTTTTATTCAGTTGTGTTTTCACTTCCTTTGTCTTCACGTCTACAGAAAATAGGAGATTTTTTTGTTTCTTTTGTATTTGACTGTATTTTTGTTTATCTAATTTTAATTTTATGAAAAAATTGTCTAGCTAATTAAAAATTTCATTAGAAGCAGCAGCTGCTAGTTTTGTGTCCCATTCAAAATGTATCCGATTTCGATCGTTGCAGTTTCCTTGGAATTTGTACAGAACTGCGTACGCGTTAATATCAAATGAATTCGTGATGAAAATTTACTAAAAAAAATAACAAATCTTTCGTTTACATTATTTGTGAGTTCAACAAAGCTGAAAGTGGATAATTCCCTAGATGTGGGCGCTTTCATTTTATTAGTTTTTCCCATCAATATTTATATTTTGTGAATTAACTCTGATTTCAAATCTACTGAATAAAATGCGAATCGCTTCACACTTAAATTGAGAACACAAGCCAAAATGATTGAATTTAAAAAGTTAATTCCGGCAGTTACTTCAAGAAAACAAATGATTGAGTAATTGGAGAACAATTTCCAAAAAAAAAAAAAAAAAATCAAACAGTATCAGACTAAAAAAAAAACAACACAGTCAAGCAATAATAAAAGATATAGAATTAAAAATTGAATTTATGAGAGAAAAAAAGTCGGTTGTTTTCGTTTTATTTTGCTCATTCTTATTTCAATTAGATAAAAAAAATAGTTTCTTTTTGTCTACTACAAATCGAATTTCATTTCCATTTGTTACTCTCTTTTTTTTAACACATTTTTGTTTTCTTATCAACATATAGTCTCCATCTGTTTTCTTATAATAAAAAAACAAACATTGTTCATTCAGTCTTATCTAACAAAAAAAAAAAAGAAGAGAAATAAAATATAATATAATAATATTAATAATAATATGAAATCATCGTCTTTGTCTAAGTTCTGTTTCGGACTCCGATACAATAATAATACATATAGTAAATCTATAAATATTTGGTTGTCTGAAACCAATCGAAAAAATTGTGTTTTTTTTTTGTTGTTGTTGCAGTAATAGTAATAGTAGTAGTAGTAGTAGTTATTTAAGTACATGATTTATAGTTGTTGTTGTTTGAAGGCTCAAATAGGTTTCATTTTATGTTTTTCTTTTTTTTTTAATTTTTCAAACGATTTCTATCTGTTCCATAGGCTGTTGAAATTACGTTATCTATTCTGGGTACCACCATCATCAAAATCATTGTCAACTTCTTCCAATTTGTTTGAACAGGCCCGACATTTACAGCACACGATACACGGTGCGGCCAACAGCAACAACGGTGATGCAACCAATAGTAAAATGCCAAAACTGGCAAATATTCCAATCACTTGAGCCCTATGCCATACAACCGATGCACGTGAATGGCCCAGCTTATTTTTGCACGGACCTTTATCATAATGCCGTAGCAAAAAATCATCCTATAAAATTAAAAATAAAATTGCGTTTAAATTTTTCCATTGCAGTCACGATATACAAAAAAAAAACAAAAAAAACAAAAAAAAAAACAAAAAAAAACAACAACAACAATTTAATGGTTCTTTTGTTATACTTACATCCAAACTGGCTAAACAATACCAGCAGAAAACATGTTTACATCGTTTGCACATCATTTGAGCACAGCCTTCATCTTTTTCAATTGGAACACCGCACATTGGGCAGCATTTGATCAAATCCGTATCAAACGGTATACCAATGCTATCATCAGCGCCATTTGCAGCCAATCGTCGTGTATTCTCTTCACAGGTCATCAATGGATGCCACTAAAATATGGTGTCACGAAATATAAAATGAAACGACTTTAATTAATTAAAATCAAGATTTTCACCCGCTAAGCACGTTTTGTTCGGTTATTTCTGATGCGTATGTACAAATTTTTTTTTTATTCGTCAATGTTTTTGTTTATATATTTATTTTGTACATACAACGTGCATACAGTTGAGTTTATTTTGTTCATCAATATAATTACCGCTTTTTTGCAACTTGAACAGAACTCTTCAACGCATGTTGGACATTTGACAGCAACTGGAGCGAGTGACATCAAAGAACCAGATTGACCAGCAATTCCCTTATCTTTTGATTTCGGTTCGACAAGACACACTGTTTCACAACCAGCTCGAGGGCACCACGTACGATTTTTGTCCAGTTCAATTTCTAGTGAATTCGGCACGGTGACAATGACAGTGACAACGAATCATGCAAACGGAATCGAATATATAAAATGACGGAAACAAGAAGAAGAAACATTATGTAAAACAAGTTTTCCAATTTTTTTTTTTTTATCACTTGTTATATTTTGCTACCGAACACTCAATCACGTAATATGTGTATCGGCAACCCAAAAATAAAACCGAATACAATGGACACACAGAGGTGACACAGAGAAAAAGAATAAACAAAAACAAAATTAAGACAGATGAAGAATACTAAATCGGCACATTACGAATTTATTCATTTAAACGGAAATTTACCTCGATTTAATCGAAAACGTTTATGTTTCTCAAGCAGATCGGTGGACGCCAATTTGCTAATATCATTCTCAATATCCATGATGCCTTGGTGTGGGCATAACGCATCCGGACATGAAATTTCGTATGCACCTTCGAGAATTTCAAATTCCACATACGCTTTCATACACTAATGAAAACAAACAACAAACCGAATTAAATGACAGAAAAAACGATTAAAATTCATGAGAAATGTGTGAACTTCATTCTCATTTCAATGAGAAAAGAACACACATACACATGTTTTATTTGGCATCGGTCAAAATTTGACCAGCATATAAAATGAATTGTTTTTTTTTTTGCTTACGTCTATACAAAATTGGCAACCGCATTGTTGAATCCTTGTCATTTTGTCCATTTTAACATCGTTTAAACATAGTTTGCATGCAACTGCTGTCGATGGCGACGTGCTTAGCGATGTTAATGATGCTCTTATCAATGATGCTTGGTCAGCTTTGTTGATGTCGTCGCGAATCGACGTTGATTTTTCTATGTGTGTGTGTGTTGGCACGCGGCAAGAAAGAGAAACAAAATATATTTTATTAGGAAATTATTTCTTTTTTCTTCTTGTCTTAAACTTTTTGCTTAACTTGAACTTGTTTTCATTATTGTTGATATGATATTTCTCATATGTATATAAAAGCAAGAACATTTCGTTGCAAACAGATAACTCAATTTAATTGAGAGAAATAAAAAGTGTTTATAATTTTAAAACATACCTAAATTACTGTTAATTGCAACAAATCCACCGTTTGCGATGTTCAACGAGTATCGTGATCCATTGGCGGCCAACGATAGAATGCTTGAACATCGTGAGCATGTTGCAACGGATGGACTTTGTCGAAGTCGATTTCTGGGTTTGATCGGTTCAAAATTCGATGTGGTTTGTGAATGAGTCAAGGCGGATACAGTTTCGCATTTTTTCAGTCCTACATCCGAGCGCTGATGAATCAATGGCTTTGCACTTGCGTTCTGATTCAAACTGGCACAACTGCCCTCACGTCGTAATAGTGGCACAACGCTCCACAATCGTTGATGCACGGTTGCATTCAATGATGTGGTCGATGCTGATGAGGTAGACATTAAGCACTTGTCATTACGAAATAAATTATGCACGGATGGCGTTCGAGAGATTTTTATTTCGGGCGATGTGACCAGCAACGGTTGATTCAATTGTTGATCGGCGGCAGCATAATCATCACATCGTGATGCACATGATATTGTATCATCACCGCTAGCCGAATATTTACGCGATATAACTGTATCATTTGAACTATAAGATGATGATGATGATGTTGTTGATGCTTTCTTACCATCATACGTATTGTTGATCGTATGTGATTGTGATACAATGCTGTTGCCAATGATTGCCGATGTGGATAGTGATGGTGCAATTGTTGTTGTTGTTGTCGCTGTTGTTGGCGGTTCCCGTGACACTTTGCGTCCGACTAGATTTTTAAGTAGTTGCTCGAATCGATTGTATTTCGATCCAGATGCAACTCCGTATGTAGTTGCATGATGTCCCATTTCCTGTGTGTTTAACTGATTTTGTCGATAGGAAATTGGAGCGTGATTTTTTGTTGATTCACCTTGTTCTTGATGTGTTATTAAATCTTCATTTAAACCATTTCTAATAGCGTGTGGTGACTCAAACGTTTCCTGTTATCGTGAAAAACATGAAGAAGAAGAACAATTTTAATTTTATTTTAAATATATATTTATACATTTAGCACAATGAAAGAAAAAAACATTAAAAATACCTCTATATCACTATCAAATGTTAATTCTCGAACCGACGGTGAACCAATGACAGCGTACCACGATTTAATTTGTTTTCGTTTGGATTTATCGGATGGGCTAATGCCACCGCTACGATCGGAATGCCAATGAAAACTGTGGCGTTTTTTTGGCGATGATATCGTTTCGTCGATGTGACCGATGATGGGGATATCGTCACTGGTCGGTGACAATGCTGCTGCTGCCGCCGCTGTTGTTGTTATTTCACTATTTGAATGTGTGCCACTACTTTGAACCAATGTAATTCGTTTGCGATGCACAACTGGATTCACGTCTTTCTTTGTAAATATTAAGGAGGTGCTGTTTTGCTTAACGAGTGTAATCGATTTATTGGGGCTTAATTGTATGAGCGGTGCACGTTCCAAATTTGTTGACGATTTATCGCAATCGACATCAATATCGGTTGCATTAACCGTTGTACTATTTTCAAAATTCTTATCAATGCCCGTTGATTTTAGCGTATTTGTCGTCGTATCGTTATGTGGTTTTTCTGCTGGTATTGACGATAATGCAAAGATTGCATTATTGTGATAGTCATCGAAATGAATGGCGATCGATGTTTTATTCACACTGCTATCGCTACTTTTACGAAAATTCGATTTCATACCATTTCGCTGTTGTGACGAAAGTGATGGCAGCGGTGGTGGCGGCGGCTGCTGCTGTTGCTGTAACTGGGGCGGTTGATCGTTGCAATCTTTTATTTGATTATTGTTATTGTTTTGATTGCATCGGCTGGTTGCGCTCACACTGTTCGACGTTGACGACGACAATGGGAACGTTGATGGTGATAATTCAATACACTTTTTTCGAAGTGCACTTTCCGATTCTGGCACATATGTTGTCCAGTTTCGTGTTGGTCGCATAATTATTATTTATTTGTTGATTGTGTTCGCTGCTAGTTGAATTGATTATATCAAAACATGGTACAGTGTCATCGTGTGAAACGTTTGCCTATTAAATCGGATGGATCGAGTGGATCGATTCGGTTGATCAAACGGGACATACAAATGAGACAAAGAGAAAAAAACAAATAGACAAATAGACAATTAATTAAAGCTAAACATATGAGACTTAATCAAATGGAATTTAATCCAACAAGTGTAAATGTTAATGTTTGGTTGGTGTAATTTTATGCGCGTGTCAGTCTCTGCCTTCTGTATCGCAATGAGAAGTCGCATTCGAAATGGATATTGCAAATGAAGAATGTGCCAAAACCGAGTACGTGATTTTCGTCATACATTCAAAGTGTATAATATTTATATGGAAATGACATTATAATTTGTACCATTATGTAAAATATAATGTGTCATAATATTCTAAATGCGCTCGAAATATTAATCGACAATGTAAACATGATCTTAGTTTCGTGTGTTGATTTGCTTAACATTGTGCAATTGAAATTCCCCGCAATTATCGAATTTGATAAATTTATCAGTCGAATGGAAATGTGTATTGCGTCCGTATTTGCGCAAACCTTCGGGCATTTGCGTAAAATGAGTGTACGTGAAGTGAATTTGTTTGAGCGTGCGTTTTGTGCGGCGCATAAAATGAAATGCATTCGATTTATTCATTACAATGGCCTGTCAGGCCATCCGCATTTTTTATCGTAAATATTCATATGACGTAGATTGCGAATAGTGTACGAACACGAGTGAACCAAAACAAGTGATGCTCAACGAAACACGAACATGAATTTGTGATGCGTGTGTGTTTCATGATTTTTGATGATTTGAATTTACAATGAATTTAATAAATTTCAACAGAAATCAAACTAATTTCCATTGACATCAAACAAAATGTTAAAGTCAAAATTCAACATGAATCAAGATTTTTTTGCATGATTCATTCAGAATGTAATTTTTGAGATTGAAATACGTATTTTGTTGCACAACATAGCGTCATGTTCGTCGAAATCATTCTAAAGTTGATACTGATTTCACTGAATTGAAATCGAGACGTTGTCGCGATAGCAATATGTCTACGACGATGACGACGACGAAAACGATGATGGTAATCAAATATACATACATTATGTAAATGTATGACTTGGTGAAAGGGTTTGTTATTTTCAAATATCCTTTTACTTTCAATATGTTTAATTGACTTCGTTCTATAACTACGCATATTGAAGTGAAGCTCACCAATTCGTAATCGCAAATGGAAAATCTTACCGACACACAATTGTGTTCAATTATGAACAATTCATTTCAACTTCACACCGTTTGAATTGAACGTAATCGTAGCACACGCAAACGCAATATGACGTAACAACGGTTCATTATACGATTCCGGATATTTAAATTATTATGAAATCATTAATAATGAGAGATTCTTTTTTACATTCGATCGAAATAGGAAATCAGTTTATGAAACAAAGCAACAACAACAAAAAACCAAAATAATGAGAAAAAAACGTTATTGTTTATATTACAATGGCTAAACGTGATAGTGAATGGCAAATGAAAAAAAAGTAACGCAAAACAAAAACAAAATGTTCTTTGTTTATAGTCGTATTGAGGTGCACATCTTACTAAGATTTTTTTATCATTCGATTTTTATTGAAAAGAATTAAGAAGTAGAACGAAGTAGTAGTTAAAAAAGCAGGCCCAATGTGACGACAATCAATTCTAGATCACCTTTCTCTTTCCATATTTAATATCCAGTTTTACGACGGGCACTGTGTTAAATTCGAACTATATTTCAGATAACAGACCTGAATCAGATCAGACCTGATATTTTTGTAGCATTGTTCTACTCTTGTGTGCTATTTTGTTTTGTTATTTTTCTTCTTCTCTCTTTCTATTTTTATATTCATTTTCGGATTAAACCTTAAATGATTCTTGTTGATAATAAGGAACAACAGCAATGTTCTTTCCAGCAACTGCGAAACAATCGTTCGTCTCTTCAAAAAAACAAAACAATATGAGTCATAAAAACAGACTTCGGACCTTATTCCGAATCGCAAAAAGATCTTTTTTTATTATTGCTTACTGTGCAAACATTCTCAGTTTCCCACTTCGGGCAAACCGTCAATCAAATCGAATAAACTCTGTTGAGATCGTAATCGACATGAAATGAACTCCCAAAGCGTTCATTTGATCAATGTGCACATAGTATACACAATGAATATGTGTGTTTTCTGTTTAAATTCATTTTGAAGCATTAGCCATAAACAACAGTTTGTTTTGTTATTTTTCAATGTCAGTCAAAATCAATAAAAAGTTTTTGAGAAAAAAAAAACGAATAATACACATAGTCGGTTGCAAATGGCGTTTGGTAAATTGCTAGAATCATGTAAATCGCATAAAAATAGCGAAGATGGTTAAATTATAAGTTGGGATTTACTGCAAAAATCCAAGGATATGACCTTTTAATTCTTAAGCAGCGGCGGTGGCGGCAATGGCCATTTGCATACAAACAAACGAATAAGAGAGAAAAAGAAAAAAAAAAAAACAAAACAAAAGACGAATTGTACGAAATTAAATTCAACTTTAAGTGATCAAGTCAATTTATAATTAAACAACCGATTCGGATTCTATGTGCACTATAGTTTAACTCTCACAATTGAAAATGCAATTTGTTTGATATTGCCACGGGTTCTAGTTGCCATCAGTACACGTCACATGTACATATACAACGTGCTGTTCTCGCCTCAATCTGTGTTTATATTTGCATTCAAACAAGATTCTGATTTAATTTGACGAAAAAGAAGAAGAAGAAAAAAGCACTGGAAATAATAATTAAAATTTACTTCTGATTGTCTGCAATCGCAACGACAATAACAAGTAGAACAACTCGAAAAGTGAGTCGAGTCGTTCGATAAATGACGCATTTTCATCATCGGGATTTTGCTGCAAATTATTCTCGGGCCGAAGCGTGTATGTGTTTGCATTGCATTCGCTTTTATATTACATAACACATTGTTCTTGTCCTACGAATCAAGCAAAATTATATTGAGATATTTTTTAGCCAGATGAATTAGCTGAGGCAACTGACGTCAGACACTGAAATGTAGCAACAACTATAGAAGTTCTATTGTTTTCACTCCATTTCAGCTCCTGATTCAGCTGCCTGAAAATATCTCAATATAATGTCTGAAAATTACTTAATTAATACGATATTTTGTTTCTTTCATGGAACTTTGCGACTTTTGTTGGATAATGTCATCGCTGCACAACATGGATAACAAATAAAAGGGCCCACAACTATGCTATTCGAAATTCAATACAATTTCTCAATACAATGCAACCGAGTGATTCGCATTTGGCTGTAATTCTGTAATTGTTTAATTATCCTTTGATTTTCCATCAATTATGCTCGCGCTCAATTTGCTGTACTTGGCATTTTCGTTCACCATATGGACCCGGAGGTTAGGGGGGGAGAGCGAGAGCAAAATCTAAATGTCAGCATATTTTTTTACGCACCAAAGCAATAACTTTTTGTTCTCTTAAAGCTTACACTCACGCACTCTCAATGTCTGGCCAAAGAATTTTCTTTTCTTTTACTTTTCGTTCGTTTCGAATTGAAGCGTCATTTTTTTTGTGGGGATAATGTTTTTTTTTTCGGAATTCCGAGTATAAATTATCTATTGCAAGTTAACTCAAACTCATTTTAAATTCAAATTAACATGGTATTGCCAGAAATAGGGCGGTTTGATTTGTTGTTTCATTTGTCCTTTTTCTTCCCTTGAGAATTTTTACTGTATGTTTGTATGTATGGAAAGTTGTACAAGATACAAGCTGTGTTGTTCTCCTCATATTTTGTTTGCATTTGAATTAATTTTCTCGATTGCGAACATTTTTAACATTTCAAATAGCCAGTGAAAGAGCTGTAGTCGAGACTCAGAAAAGCGTTGGGAATGCAAACACGTGTGTGTATTGATTATTACTCGAAAAACCAGAAGGGCGAATGCAAATAAAGAGAGAGAGAGAGAGAGAGAGAGAAATGTGTGCGCGCAAAATGGCTGGAACAAATGCGTGAGACAATGAAGATACATGGTATTGAAAATGTAAAAAATCAGCTAAATGCCATTGAAAAATCGTCTCAATTGAATTAAAAGTGTGATTTTTTTTAAATATTATTATTTTAAGTGCGCTCTGATATTCAAATCAACCATTCAAAGTAGTATAGTATTTTTGGTTGTTGTTACTATTGTGTAAAGCAAGTGTTTTGCACGCCTTCGTCGTTTTATTTGGTGCGTTTCAATGTTGATACCATTTTGAACAGTATGCTCTTATTTAATTTGTTTTTGCTGCTGTTTTTTTTCGCATGTGCTTTTGTTGTTGTTGTTGTTGTTGGTGTATGCTTTTTTGGTTTATTGTGACTTTGATGATTGCGGTAGTGACAATACGCCGATGTTTTATGCACGTTCAAGGCTTCAATTACGTATGCACGCAACATAAATTCTATGCATCTCTCGTACAAAAAGGAAATATCATTCGTTGTATTGAAGTGTACGGTTAAATAAGTCGTTCAATATTGCAATTTAAAGTGCTGTCGCGATCACACACGGCAAATGGCACGGCAGTTCAATGACACATAAATGGTGAAAATGTCATAAAATTTATCGACAAAACCAAATTTACTTATGGTGCGAAACGAAAAATGGTAATCAACAGTATGTGGTATTTATTGTAAAGATCAATCACTTACCATTTTATGTCCGCGCTCAACAGCAGCACCACTGATTTTCAACAAGTGAGATCACTCTGCAAATGAAAAATAAAATTGAACACAATTAGTGAGAGATGTTTGGCAGAAAGACAATTTTACAGTGTAAAATAACACACTAAAAATTTATTTCAAAATGTTGATCCACGCACTAATTATCAATAAAGGGCTGTACTTGCGACATGTATGACAGTCATAAAGTATTTTATTTTATTTATTTTCTGTTTTAAATTCATTTATTATTCTGTTGTCGGCTGTGCGCCTGCACACACAGAAAGACACACACACACACACACACACGGGAGAGAAGTGAAATGATCTTAAAATCTTTACTATCGCATGTGTGATAAATGGCACATTAACGTCATTTGCTGTGATCAACTTACCCAATAATGGTCCAAAGTGGCAATGTGACATCTTAAGACAATAATTTTAATATTTCTTTTTTCTTCAATTATTATTTACGTTGATTTTTGGCTGAACGTCCGAATCGAGAAAAAAAAGAGTCCATGAATAATGAGACCAATCATATTTTTAAACAGATATGGTGTATTTAATGTCAATACGATACATGCATTCAGACATCGATCACTTATACAAATGTCGCCAATGGCCGAAATGTATATATGGAAAGTGCGAAAACGATTCGTTCATTAATTATAGTATATTATTATGTACGTATATTTTCTTTTTCGGGGTTTTTGTGCTTTTTAACATTCTGTTGACTAAAAGTGGCAATAATGTCACGATTAATACTGAGCGATAAAGTACAAACACACTCACTCACACCAAGCTACGTTCATTTTTTTTGGTGGCCATCATTTTGACGGTTGGTGATTTCTTCATCGAATGCCAAAGGACATTGAACACTTTTTTGATTAATTTGAGCGCGAGAATATATTGGATAACAATGAACGAAGAAAAAAAATGTGCCGTCGTTTCGGCTCCACTGTGTCTTAGATTGGATTTCGGGTCACCTAAATACACACTGAATAAATAATGAGAAGCAAAAGAAAAAACAGTATCATACGCCACTGAACAACTGAAAGCAACTGACACAATCAATTGAAAAATGATTTCAAACAATTGCGCCGCCGCCGTCGCTGTCGACGTCGTACATACCATATTTCACAATAAATTATTCATTCTTTATCTATATACGGTATATAGCATGTTTCGTGTTTGTGACGGAAAAATAATAACAACAAAAGATGGCTCTATATTTTTGTGTTCTTATGTTCCGTTTATACCTTGTGGCAAACATGTGATTGCCCAATAAAATAAATAAATATCATCATTGTCAGTGTAAATTTTCATTTCACATTGTCGCTTTCAAGGAACACTTCGATTCAATTATACTAAAGCGAAATTTCCATCGATATCTCTTATTCTTAATTCAATAATAAAAAAAAAAACGAAACAATTAGATGTCATTTGATCTTCAGGAAAGACGAGTCAGGTGCGCGAGCTTATCTAAGGAATAACACGCTCACATGTAATGTATGTTTTATTCTCTCGCATTTCATTCAATTACATTATCAATCGAATTTATCAGAATTCTGTGTGTATACTCGCGCAATTCAGATAAGGAAGCGAATCAGAAAATTGAGGTAGTTATCGAAATCACTGAATAGATGTTTTTTTTACTGTTGTCTTGCACATCGTCACGAAAATTGGCATGAAAAAATGACAAAACATACAATTTGCGAAATTAGCGGCTATTATAATTTGATTGTTTTTGGTCAAATTAACATTTACAATGTATATTATGACTAACTTTGGCGTGTGACAGCGACAGAGAGAGAAAGAGAAAATATTGTATGATAATCGGCAGGTGGGTTTAAAAGGAAAATAAAATGTTGCATGATACATGCAATTCGTGTAGCTCAATACAAAAAAGTAGCGATTTTTTAATTGCTCATCGAAAGACATCGACTTTGCGCATTAATTGAATTGTTTTTCTATTTTATGGATTATATATATTATATATTGTATGTGTGTGTGTGTTTTGAACACACTCTGTTCAAATGTTAGCGCAATGGGTTTTTTCGGGGTGATTAAAAATATTCAAGACATTATTCGGTATTAAGTGTGTAGAGCAATAAAAAGTATAAAAAACCAAACATATGATTACAAATGAAAATTGAGAGAAAGCGCATTTTGATTTATTTCAGCTTCTACTACTTTCATTTTAACACGGGTAACGTGAAAAATGTCATTAAAAAAACTTTGTTTGCAATAACAAAAACCAAATGGTACTATATAAAATCACTTGTAGGGTACTGTGAGTGAGTGGAACGCGGAAATTGTGCATAGAGTTCACATGACCCATTCTTAGTGCCCAGTTAGCCGGCGTTGAATATTCGTCTGTGTATCTCTGCATGTGTTATCATAATAACCGGCATTTCCCCTCCCAAATATTTGCCACAATGTGAGTGCTCATTAAACAAACTCAATCTGTACTTAAAACGATGTTATACAATTTAATTGGTGAGAGAATAAGACGGAAAATTCGCCTTTTAACTATCTTCTAAAGGAATTTCCCGTAAACGAGAGCATGAGATGCGATTTTGGCTTCTTATTCTCATCCATTCAAATCCAACAGCTGTGACCCGTGTGAAAGAAAAATTAACCCACTTGACTGTATTCAAAAGGTTTATTTTTCATTAAAACAAACTAACTGCATATTTGACGAATGCTGTATAAATTTCATACAAAAAGGAATAGTCATTTATTTATTTATTTATTTTTTTCCACAAGGGTATATACATTTGTTTCGTGTTTCGATTGCAAATTTATTTATTTTTATTTATTTTTTTGTTCGTTGTGTGCATCGGATTAAAATACGTAAACAAACAGCCGATTTCCATCCACTCGTAAAATAGAAGCGGCGTTTTTATTCTTCAATAAACGTAAAACATATGTGCTATCTAAAATTAAACGATTTCTCATTCAAATGTTATGGCTAACATTCCTTTCATTTTTGTTCTTCTTCGTTAATTATATTGTGTGCAAATTTCTATATGTGTGTGCGTGGTTTTTTTCTTCTCTTAATTTTTATTCGAATTCTTAAAATACAGAGAGAAAAAAATTGAATACGTCGACGGTGTACAACAAAATATAAAATGGTGAACAACGAGAGGTTGAGAATAAATAACATAGAGCGTATTAGAGTTGAAACTTTGTAAAAATGGTATATCTGTACATATTTCAAGGTTAAGTCAAATCATCGCAACAACTAATATACGCAGACAATGGCAACAACAACGATTATAGTGTGCCGACAACGTTCACAACTAAGGCGACGTAGAAGTTTCTTGACAACGACAAACGAACAACTATTACATAGTCTAGGTGACACACTATGGCTCGTGCGACAAAATCATCGCGTATTTGCTATTCTGTTCGATATTCGCTTATAAATCACGAAAATTGCAAATGTATATACACATGCAACACCAATATATCATAAATTCAAACACTTTGAATTTTGAGGGAGAGAAAGAGACACCACAAACACGAACCACAAAACGCAATTGACTATAATGATTGTCTGAAACTTGGAATGGCAAAAAAAAAGAATTATAAATGTTCTTTTTTCTTCTCACTTTAAGAACGAAATAGAAGCGAAACGGATGTAAACAACCGCAATAAACAAATCGGAATATTAAACGCTGAAAAATTAATTACATATATGTATTTTTGAATACACACAGTTGAAAACATAAATGTCACGCATATTCAGCAGGTAACCATTGAATCGGTACGTTACCACTTGAAAATAGAGTCCGAGATAGATATAAAAGTAGCTTTTATTTTTAATAGGGGGTTTCAGATCACATGGAGAGCATTTATGAATCTACAATGTCAAGACTCTCGCTTTAATTTTTGGCTTTTAATTTTGTTTTTGTTTCGGTGTTTCGAGAATATGATTGTATTTTTTTGAAAACGGTTTACTTATTTTTGTCATTCCTGTGTGTACGCAAAGCGTGTTTAATGTATAAAATTATCAATAAAAGAACAAAAAAAAAAAACATTGTTAATGTGTAATCTTGATGGTTGTTGACGAAATTCTAATCATTTTTTTTTCATTGAGTCATGATCTCAATGTCCGTTTATTGACCAAAATTATATAGACACGTGTGATGTCTGATGACCCACCGCAGTTTTTAACTCAATATTTTGTTTGTTTTTTTTTCAGCATTTTTGTTCGCATCCATTTTCATTATCATTAACCATTTGTAGTCAGTGATTTATATTTGATAATCATTTATTGTAAAAACTGAACATCGTCGGCTCACATCAATGGTTCCAAAAATAATTGCAAATCAACGTACATATTTCATTGCGACGAGATTTATGATAACAATTTTTTTAGTTGTAAAAAAACAACAACAAACACAACAGGCAAATAAACAATTGTGCAAAGTCGCGATGAAAATGCATTTTCATCTTCAGATTCAAAAGTGTGTGACGGCTTTGCTGCCTATTATATAAATCAGACATTATATTGAGATATTTTTAGGCAGCTGATTCAACTTAATTCAGGAAGTTTATGCTAGGGGGTAGACAAGTGGGATAGGATTAGTGTAAAAATTCGAGAAATTAAAGTGGAATAGACAATTCAGTAGCTGAATTCACATGGATTCACAATCCCATGTATGGAATAGCGAAAATGGGTTAGATTCAATGTTTTTGTAATCGATAGTACAGAATTTGATCAAAGCATTGAACTTGTTTTGAGATAGTAATTTTCTCTTTTTTGAAATATTTTTTAGTTCAAAAGTCGATTACAAATTTACAAAACAATAGATACACTTTCTCAAAATTTGATTGATGAAAAAAATAATGATAATTCAATCAATAACAAAATGTCAGTGTCGATAAATAAGTTTTCAACAAAGTGAATAGCGGCGAAATGTGACGTCATATTTGACAATGAAATGACGGATTGGTGGAATAGTAGGATTAGTGTTTATATATTGGAATCATGGTTTAATCGTTTGTGTCTTCCCCCTAGAGCTTATGTCAACCGCTG